GGTCTGGGACTTGACCTGGTGTTGGCCATGTTGGCGTTCAGTACCCTTAGCCACCACTCCACCTGCCAAACCCTACAAATGCCCTTTTCAGACTAAAGAAGTGTCCTATATTTCTGGTTCGCTGGTGCTTCTATCAGGAATGACTGTTAAATTTTACAGAAGACTTTACTGCTGTCTATTGAGCTGAGCGTATGGTTTTTGTTCTTTAACTTGTCAGTAACAGTACATTGTGTTACTTTCTAACATTGAGCGAACCTCGCAGTCCTAGAATAAACCTTACTTAGCCGTGATCCTTTTACATTTCTGGATTTAGTATGTTAATATTTCATTTAGAATTTTTTTTATTATTATGTTTGCTGTAGGGTCCCTGCACTCACCAGAGGGGGGGGGGGTGTGGTGAGGGAAAGTGAGGAAGCACTCCCAAGGGGCGATGACCACACCAGGATCCTTTTTCTCCATGCTCCCCTCAGGATCTTGGGCTCATGTGCATGTGCATGGTGTTTTTCAAGCCGCCAGGTCTGCAACTCAAACCATGCAGTCAGCCTTGTGGGACCCGGCCCCCTTAACCACGACGCCTCCAGCTAGCCCTGTTTAGGATTTTTTAATCCTTGTTTGTAAGACAAGCCTTTAATTTTCCTTTCTTGGACCGTCATTGTCTGGTTTGAGTATACAATCTGAGCTGTGATGTGTTCCCTCTGTTTTTGTTTGCCCAGCCACCTTCTGCGTTGTTGGAATCATCGGTTCCTTGCATGTTCCGTAGAAAACACCAGTGGTGGGCTGGCCCCATTGCCTAGTGGTTAAAGGGGCCAGATGCCACATGGGATCAAACCATGATTTGATCCCTGGCCCCAACAGATTAAAAGCATGCCAGTATGCCCCCAGAACCCAATAGGATAGAGAAATGGAGGAAGATAAATTGCAGCCTAACCACACTCCATGGGGGCGGGGGGGGGGGGGGGTCTCCCTCTCCTGCTCCCTGAGCACAGATGCCCTCTGGCAATTAAAAGAGAGAAAACACCAATGTTGTCACCTGGCCCTTATTGTTTTTTTTTTTTCTGTGTTAGAAATTTTACACTGTAATTAATTTATTTTAGTTATGGGACTATTAGTGTTTTCTATTTCTTCTTTAGTCAGTTTTAGCAAGTTGTAATTTTTCTAGGGATTTGTCCATTTTCCCAGAATGTTTACATTACTTGGAACAACATTCATAATAACCTCTTTATCTTTTTAGTCTCTGCTGCCTCTGCAATTATGTCCCTTTTTTCATTCTTTATATTGGCTAGGTACTGTCTCCTTTTCTTTTAATAGCCTTGTTAGAGATGAATTGGTTTAGTATTTTATTCAACGAACCAGCTTCTGACTGTCTGTATTTTAGCTCTGCTTTCTCTTTTATTAATTTACACTCATGTTTATTATTTCCCTTTACTTTTTAAAGAGTTTCGTTGTTTATGGTATTTTTTGTAACCTCTTGCATTGACTCTTTAACCTATTCTTTTTTTTAACCTGTCTTCTCTTTTTTAATTGAATATACAAGGCTATCATAAAGATTTCTGTACATGGGCAAGAGGGAAATAACTTAAAACATTAAAACATTGTTTTGGGGGAAAAAATAGAAGGCTATAAAATTTTCTCTCAGTTCCATTGTAGCCGTAGTCTACACATTTTGATAGGTGATATTCTTATTAACATTGGGTTCCAATGTCTTCTAATTTTCTCTGTGATTTTTCCTTAGACCTTCAGATTATTTACAAAGAAATATGTATCTTTTCTATTTTAGTACATATGTTACTAATATCTGACTTAATTGTGCTATAACTAGGAAATGCAGGGTGTAAAATACTCATCTTTTAAAATTGGCCCAAATCTGTTTTATGGCCTAGAACGTGTTCTTTTTCCCCGTAGTTCTGCGTGGCTGGAAAAGCATGCCATTTCCTTCTGTTTGGGTCTGCTTATGTCCATTTGATCAGGTTTATTAGTAGGGTTGTTCAAATTTTCTGTAACTTTAGTTGTCTAGATTTCTCAGGGAAAAAAAATATGAGGGTCTTCAAAAACTTCAAGGAATATGCATATTATGAAAAAAACTGCAAGGATTCAATTTCTTTTTTTTAATTTTGCACCAAGTAGACTTGTACTTTAATTCCATTTTTCCATGAACTTTCTGAAGTCCCCTCATCTGTCAAGTCCTCTAGTGTGAGAATAATTTGTTTTTCCTAGAGTTCAGCCAGTTTTGCTTTATTGTTTTGAAGCTGTTACCAGCTCAAAGATTTGCAGTGCTTTTTCTGGTCAACTTACTATTCTGTGTAGTGATCTTTTTTATTTCTATGGATACTTTTTTTTTTTTTTTTGAGAGGTTTTTGCTATAGGGCACATGCGCTCACCAGACAGACAGAGAGAGACAGAGAGACAGAAAGCGAGAAATCATCCCCCAGGGGGGATGGGCACGCCGCAATCCCTTCTCCTCCATTCTCCTCCATTCTCCTCTCGGGATCTTGGGCACGCACGCACACGTGCCCGGTGTGAGTTTAAGTCATCGGGTCTGGGACTTGAACCGCAGTTAACTACATGGGAGTCCAGCAACATAGCCATTATGCTAACTGCTGGCCCCGATACTTCTAGTTGTTTAAAAAAGGTATTTCATCAGCTATGGTATAGCTACAAGTCTTAAAATTGTTAATTCTGGGGACCAGCAGGTGGCATGTTGGTTAAGGCACTGGACTCCAACATGTTTTCATGTATTTTTATTTATTTACTTAATTTTTTTTTTTTAGGTTTTTGCCATGTTATGTCTTTGAATATTGCCTTGCCCCAACCCCCGTTTCCTTTACTTTTTTTCATTCTGGAACTTTTCTGCGTTAGCCACCATAATTTTGAAACTCTTTGTATTTACAGTTCTGCTTTCATGCTGAGGTCTGAATAACTTCTGACCTGTCTTCTGTTAATAATTTACCACTCTTTATTCAGTTGTTTCCAGTTAACCTATCAATTAGATTGTTAAAATTTCATTGTTTTATCTTCCATTCTAAAGTCGTATGTGATTCTTTATCAAAATTTGATTTGTTTTGATACTCTTATTCCTTATACTTTCTCTCCCTCATTTTGTTTCTCTGTTAATAATCTCCACACGGTAATTCCAGTATCCAGGGTCTTTGCAGACCATGTCCTGCAGTTTCTGATTTCTACTGATTTTGTTTGAAGTGGCGAGGCTTTCTTACAAGATGATAAATTGTAATTGTGAGCTTATTAATTCTTCAGAAACTGTGCTTAAAATGCTTTCCTCAGATCAGTCAGTGGCATACTGGATAAGGCAGCTGGATCCCACATGGCTGATCGTGCCGCCTGAGTCCCAGACTAGTGGCTTGAAAAACATGCCAGGCATATGTGCATGTGTGCCCAAAATCCTGAAAGAAGGAGGAGATGAAGGGGAAAGGATTACAGAGTGACCATGTCCCCTGGAGTATTTTTCTCCCTCTCTCTCTCTCACTCATCTCCAGCAAGCATGCATGCCTTCTGGCAAAAAAAAAAAAAAGAGGAGAGAGAGAGAAAGAAAGAAAAGAGAGTTGGCAGGTATTTTTTCTCAAGATTTTGAAGATTCTATTGTCTTCTGGAATCCTGGTTGCCAAGGAAATATGTTTTCAGTCTGTATGACGTTCTCTTCTCTTTTGTATCTTTTAAGGTTTTCTCTGTCTTTCCTGTTACTCCATTTCATGTAAATGTTACCTAGGTTTTTATCATTTTCCTACTTGGACATTGGTATTTCTTTCAAGCTATAGGCTCATAATGCCTTCAATTCAGGAACATTCTCAGCCGTATTCCTATTGCCATATACCCCTTTCTCTGTGCTCACCTTCCAGAAATTTCTACCAGCATACACTGCAGCTTCTCATCCATTCTCCATTTCTCTTACCTTCTCTTTTGTATTTTTTCATTTCTTTATCTCTCAGTGCTCTACTTGGGTTGTTTCTTCAGGTCTGTCTTCCAAGTCATTAATTTCCTCTTCAACTCTGTTCACTCTGTTGTTAAATCACCCATTGAGTTTTTTGTTTCCATAACTTTATATCATTTTTTAAATGTCTGCTTTTTAAAAAAATGAATTGCTGTTCGTAAAGATTATTTTTCTTTCCTTTATTTCTTTGAGTGTCTTAGACATACTGATGGTGCGGTATCCTCTAGCTTATTCTTTTTTCTGTTGTTGGTGGGAATGAGTCTATCATGACCGTCATGGCCACTTGGCTTCTCTTCTGGTTTACAGATTTTAGTTTTTCTTCTGATTTTGGCTTGTTTGTAGTTAATAAGGGAGCCCCTTGTGGCTATGTGGTAGGGGTGTCCCCAGGGGGCAGGTTTGTATCTGCCTCTGTGGAACCTTTGGGTAGCCTTGGTGCTCAGCCAGGTTTTCTTAGGTTAATTTCCCAGGTGGCCTCAGGCTAGCAGGCAGCTTCCTCAGAGCTCCCTCTAGTGGATAACTCCTCTTAGTTCCCATCTGGGGGACAGAACTTCCTGGCCGCAGGAGGCAGCTCACTTGCTCTCAGTCTCACATGGACCTCAGACCCTGCTCTGACCGCCTGTGTCCTACCCTGGCAACTCCCTGGGGTATTACCTTCCACTCTAAGTCTTGACTGGGCTCTGCATTTTCCCTTTGATTCTTATAGCTGGACTCCTTTTAAGCTCACTTAAACACACGTGCGTGGGGCGGTAAGATTTTAGGAGACTTGGGGTTCAATTTTACCTGGCGTTTTTCTTTGTTTAAAGCAAAGGCAGAATTTCCCCAGACAGCTCAGTCATCCTCGTGGACCCGTGGCCTGGCCCTGAGCGTGTATTTGCATGTTCCCCACTCCCCTCACTACCTGACCAGTACCACGTGACCTCAGCTCTGCGCAGGGGCCCTGGAGACCCGTGTGCTCTTGCGTTCCCTCCCCACCCGCCTTTTTGCATCCAGGCAGGCGTGTGTCTCCTGGGAGGGCCGTGATGTTGCACATGTGGCTCACACACACTCCTTCCTCTAGGCTCGGGGCCCCCAGTGCCGGCCCCTGACCTCCTCATGCAGATCAAGCAAGAGGGCGAGCTCCAGCTCCAGGAGCAGCAGGGCCTGGGTGTGGAGGCCTGGGCGGCCGGACAGCCAGACATCGGAGAGGAGCCCTGGGGCCTCAGCCAGCTGGACTCCGGAGCAGGAGAGCTCTCCACTGATGCTGCCTCTGGTAAGTAGCTGAGACCCAGCGTCGGGAATGAGTTGTGGGACTGAGGGCAGGGATGGGGGAGGCTCCCTGAAGCAGGTGGGAGCTATGGCTCTCCCAAATCCGACCTGACTAGCTAGAAGTTCTCCCATTCTAAGGCAGGGGCTGCAACCTCATGGGCCCTCTGGGTCAGTATGCTATTCCTGGGGGGGTCTCTGCCGGCCATCACAGTGCCCCCCCACAGCGGATCTCCTGCTCTTCTTACCTGGCACTGGCTGCTGACCTCACCAGCTGCCTCATCCTCACTGGGGGAGGATCGAGAGGGGTTCAAGCCTCCTGGCTCCAGAGAAGCAGAGACTCCAGGCCCAGAGAAGCTGGTCATGTCAGTGGTCTTGGCTCAGCCTGCTCTTTCCCCAAGATTCCCTGCTGCTCCCTGCTGCTCCTCCTAACCAACAGGCTCTGATCTCCCTTCCTTGCAGGCGTTCATTCCAATTTTCCGACCACCATCCCACCCACTTCCTGGCAGGCCGACCTCCCTCCGCACCATCCTTCCTCTGCATGCTCCGACGGGACGCTGAAGCTCAACGCAGCAGCCTCCACCGAAGGTGCGAGACAAGGGGAGAGCAGTGGGGGGGAGTAGGCCCACGGAAGGCGCCATGGCCAGGGCACCCCATCAACTGGCGCTAAGCAGTCTTTTTTTTTTTAGAGTTTTTTTTTTTTCTTCTTTGCTATAGGGCACGTGAGCTCACCAGAAAGACAGAGAGAGACAGACAGAAACCAAGAAATCACCCCCTAGGGGGATGGCCACACCGCAGTTCCTCCTCCTCCATTCTCCTCTCGGGATCCTGGGCACACACGCACATGCACCCAGCATGAGTTTAAGCCACCAAGTCCGGGACTCGAACCGTGGTTGACTACATGGGAGTCCAGAGACATAGCCATTACACTAACTGCGCTGGCCACACCTCAGTTCCTCCTCCTCCATTCTCCTCTCGGGATCCTGGGCACACACGCACATGCACCCAGCATGAGTTTAAGCCACCAAGTCCGGGACTCGAACCGTGGTTGACTACATGGGAGTCCAGAGACATAGCCATTACACTAACTGCTGGTCCCACTAAGTAGTCTTTCTAAAGACAGGATCACACTGTGTTATAATCCACCTGCTCCAGCCTCCCAGTCACTGGGACCATGCCACAGCCGGCCTGTCAGGGTAGCCACGAGTCAAACCTGGGCCTCAGTTTGCTGCATGTGCAGCAGCGACCACTCCACCATGGCGTCCGGAAACTAGTCCATTCACACAGCTGATTCCGTGAAGGCGGGACCTCCTCCCCAGACTGAAGAACCCATGCCTCCTCTCTGGCACGGAAGAAAATGAAGCCATGTCCTAGATGTTGGTACTACCAAGACAGGTGTCTGAAGGCCAGAGTAGGGGAAGAAACTGCCAAATCTATGCCCTTGTTTCTATTTACTTCTGTTTTGAAAACCAGTTACCTATTCCTTAAAGTAATACTTTCTGTTTTAGTACCACCCCTCCCCCAAAAATGTGCTTATTGTCAGGGTCCCTGGTATTTCATGATCTTGGGATGTGAAATTCCACTACGTTTATTTAAGAACAGCTATTGGGAACCAGCAGTTAGCGTAATGGCCATGTCGCTGGACTCCCACGTAGTCAACCACGCGGTTCGCGTCCCGGACCCGGGCTTAAAACTCATGCCGGGTGCATGTGCGTGCATGCCCAAGATTCCGAGAGGAGAATGGAGGAGAAGGGATTGTGGCATGACTATCCCCCCTGGGGGGTGATTTCTCACTTTCTGTCTCTATGTCTCTCTCCGTCTGTCTGGCAAGCGCACGCACCCTATAGCAAAAACCTCTCCAAAAAAAAAAAAAAAGAACAGCTACTAATAGCCTGCCCTCAGCTGGCCGGCAGCATTTACTGAGTCCTGCTGCATGCCAGATTGCCTGCTAAGTGGTGTGTTACTGGGCTGAGGGCCGGCCCAGTGGCCTAGTGGTTATAGGAGCCAAATCCCACAGGCCCACGTGGCCAACCACATAGCTCAAGTCTAGCCCCAGTGGCTCAAGATCCATGCAAAGCATGTGTGTGTGCCTTAAATCCGGACAAGATGGAGAAACAGAGGAGAAGGGATTGTGGCATAACCACACCCCTTGGCGGGTGCTTTCTCCTTCTCCCTCTCTGTCTCTGTCTCTGTCTGTGGTGAGCGCAGACTTCCTCCGATAAATTAAAAGAAAGAAAGGAATGGATGGAGGGAAGGAAAGAAAAGAAAGAAAAGGAGGAGCAGAAAGAAGAGCTGAGCCTGAGGTCCCGCGGCAGGCTGGCAGAGCCTCGGGGCATCCCAGGTGTGCCTGGAGCCCAAGCCTGTGCTCTGCCTGGGGCACGTTGCCACCAGTGATCAGGATGCCTTTCTTAGGACAGATTTATGATTAGCCCAAATGGCCAAATCAAGTCAGAACCCAGGGAGCAGATTTCAAGGCTGCTTTTCCTGTGATGAGGTGTCAGAGCAAGGGTCTCCTCCTGGGGTGCTCTGTGACCAGCCGGGTTGGTGGGTGCAGACAGGGAAGCACAGAAATGCAGAGGAGGGTCTCAGGCCAAGCTCTCCCTGGGTAAGGCACAGAGTGAGATCTGCCGGTCTCTCTTTCTCAGCAGATGTAAAAATTGTGATAAAGACGGAAGTCCAAGAAGAGGAGGTGGGGGCCACACCGGTGCATCCCACCGACCTGGAGGCTCATGGGACTCTGTTTGGACCAGGCCAGGCCACAAGGTTTTTCCCCAGTCCTGTCCAGGAAGGAGCTTGGGAAAGCCAGGGCAGTTCCTTCCCGAACCAGGACCCAGTGCTGGGGCTGCGGGAGCCCGCCCGGCCTGAGAGAGACATGGGGGAGCTCAGTCCAGCCGTGGCCCAGGAAGAGACCCCTCCAGGAGACTGGCTCTTTGGTGGGGTCCGATGGGGCTGGAATTTCCGTTGTAAACCTCCAGTGGGCCTGAACCCCAGGACTGGGCCCGAGGGGCTCCCTTACTCCTCCCAGGACAACGGAGAGGCTGTCCTGGACCCCAGCCAGGCCCCGAGGCCCTTCAACGAACCCTGCAAGTACCCCGGCCGGACAAAAGGCTTCGGCCACAAGCCGGGGTTGAAGAAGCACCCGGCAGCGCCCCCCGGAGGCCGGCCTTTCACCTGCGCCACGTGCGGGAAGAGCTTCCAGCTGCAGGTCAGCCTGAGCGCGCACCAGCGCGGCTGTGGGCTGCCCGACGGCGCGGGGCCCGGGAC